AACCCTCCAAACCATCTGAACCACCATCAACTTTACTTTTATTCCTTTTCCACCGGAGTTTTTTCTTTGCTGGCCGGATTTATGTTTACCGCTTCCCTGACAATGACTGCAAACTGGCATTAAATAAAATTATTATTATTATTATCATTCAGCTGTGCTGCTTAAGCAAAGGAGTTGGAGTCAAACATTTGCAAACTGAGTGTTCAGTCAAACAGATGGCTTTTGTAACTTGATGTGACAGAATTTGTGGTCGTGCACCTAATCACCAGCCGAAACCTCTCTTCAAAACATCAGCATAATACTAATGGGACCGAAATAGAAGATGTAAGTAGGCGCTGAGAGCTGGGTATGTAGACGACCGTAAGTTTAATGCTATCAGAGCACTGTAAAAAGATGGTATGTACATAAGGAAACAAGCACGTGGCATTGGGTGAGAAGTGTATTTAATTCACTTCCCCTGAACTCACCAGAAGACTTTTTGGCGCCTTCGTGTTACCTCATCAGAAATATTGAATACCAGTATGTACATTATGTATGAGGAACGATACTGACCTCCTCGAACAGGTGCAACGCAGAACGACGAAGACAGTTGATGGTCTTAGAACGCTGTCGTATCAGGATAGGTTGAAGTTACTCGATTTATTCCCTCTATGTTATGGACAATTAGGCTATAGCCCGCTCCAGACATTCCGGATTGTCCATGCACATGGCATAGTCCTGAGACCAAAGGGCTTCTTCGATTTGATCTGTTCAAATAAATTATGTGACAAGACCGCTGAAAGTTTCCTTCACGTCAACAGATTACAGGGGGCCGCGAAAATCATCTTTCACGAAGGGTTATGAAGTAGGAGGGTGAATTCCTCATGAGGGTAGGATGAGAGCCTAGGGATGTTAGGGAGTGGCAGACCCAGGGTGGGAGTCACGTTGGGATGAGAACTCCAAATCTCAGAGACTAGAACGGAATCCTGATGAGGCTCAGCAAGAAGCGGGATAGAGGTGGCTTGGAGCGTGATCGTCGACGTGACTGCACTATTTCCTTGAGATAATGGTGAAAGAGGACTCGCGTCCAGTGAATAAAACTATGCATAGATTGAAAAATCAACAAAATCGAAATTTATGATGGGAGATCCTACAAAGCGAAACGGCGCGCACGGAAATTAACGTGGGCGAATAAGGTAATTTGCGGTGACGTCCTAAGCATCCGGTGGTCCTTTCTCAAAGCCATAGAAAAAGTTTCCTGGAACGATGAGGAAAATCGCAACTCAATTGAGTC